TCAGACTGACGCCGGCTCACTAACAGTCGCGGGAGACCCCCAGCTAACACCACCTAGCAGCACAACTCGTAACTATAAAGCATGTGTGCGCAACAGGTCGGTTCCGGTTATTTTTGGGTCCCCCTTCGTATGATGTGGTATTTCCTTATGCATATTTAAGTTGATCATAGAATAAACATATGAACTGCAAGTGTTTAATGGTTCTCAGCTTTGTTTAATTTGTTTGTGCAGTATTTCTGAAAAAACAACTATATGAAGTGAATCAATTTCAGACAGTGAAGAATGAAGGTCTGTTGGCACTCTACAAGGGCTTCATCCCAACATGGGTGAGAATGGGACCTTGGAATATTATTTTCTTTGTTACATATGAACAGCTGAAACAATTGTACTGAGAACTTCTGCCCTGTTATGGAGCATATTGTTGCAGTGTTATGGGCTATCAAAGAACATCTTGTGAATATGGTTTTGCAATTTGTAAATATGTATTCAACTTAAAGCATTTATATTTTTTAATGCTTTGTCACAGAGGGTATGTGCAATTCTTGAATCTAAGTAAAATATTCCCCCCTCCTGTACTTTATTTATAATAGGTTACTTCATAACTAATATAATATATCGTAATAAGATAATTAGACAAGGAACAGTTTATTATGATAGTTATACATCTTCTACAGATTTAAGGAACACATCTCGTTTTGCAGTTTAAGTAATGAAAATTGGAGAGAAGTTTGTGTGATGTTAAGTATCTTTTTTATATGCTAATATTACTATTAATACTATTAATATTGTTTGCTGCAGAAGACTTCACAAGAGTTTCATTATGCATTGAAGTTACTAAATGTGAGATAATATATGTATTTTGTTATCCTGAAGCATTATAATTCACTGTAGATTTATGTTTAAGAGAGGCTCAGTTTTAATCTCAGCTGGGACACCAGTTATTCTGATAAGTTTTTCACAGCTTTTCTGTGTTCTTCCAAGTAAATGCCAGGATAGACTAGACAATGGCTTTATATTCATCTTTGTGATTATAGAATGCAGTTCAAGAGGAGTATAAAATGTTAATAAAACCACTAAGGCTTAAAGATGCTTCAATAATTATAGCTTTGAAAGTTACTGGTTTATTTAACTTATAGTTTTTGCTTCCTTACAAATCTCTCCAGTTCGTTATTCATCAGTCATCTTACCATTTGACACTGTATAGTGTAGATACTGAAACCATGGTAAAATAACCCACACATAATTTGGCATTATAAGGATAGACAGGAATACTTCATTGGCAGGATTTCTTTACGCATTTAGAGTTTCTGAAGTTTCTGGGTAACTTTCCTGCATATTGTAGAAAATATATTACAGCTTTCAAGTATTGTGAACTATTGTGGTGTATTGTACACATCCAAAAATTCCATCTGAAACCATATTGTCTTCTTTTGTGGTATATGACACAAAGTTTTACTCTGGTAGGTGAGTGCTAAGTTTTGTTTCCATTTTCATCAGTCCAGAAGCTGGAAGTGTATGTTCCTTCAGAACATTTGCTCCCACCTACCAGACTGCAATATCGTGTCATAACCAGGAAGGCCACAAAACCAGTTATCACCGCTGTGAAAATGTTACGTCATTCTTCAGTCAGAAATGTTTAAATATGAAAATTTATAGTGGGTAACTACTATATCATTTTGACTGGAAGATGCACTTTATCTTTACTTAGGAAAAGTTGTGCCTGATTGTATATAAAAATTGACAGAAGTTTATGATTTGGTAAATGTTACCTTCTGAATATATAAGAATAATCTTCATGAGATTTGACATTCCAAACATTCTTGATGTCTCATTTTGTCTGATCAAAACTAGTTCTTCAGCACTTTCACTGTAATGTGTCTCAGTCATGAACTTGCTTTATTGAACATTTGGTACTGTATCAGCATGTAGACAGATGAACATCATCATTTTTGGCAAAACAGCCCTTTTATGGCCATAGTCTTCCTAAAGAAAATGTTATCAGACTTGTCTGTCATGAGTTAGACCATACAGTTTTCACTTCTTTGGATTTCGCAGCAATAATTATGGTTGTCAGCTTTGCTTCTAACCCACAACCTGGAGGACCAGGTCTCCCATTGACAGGGTGGCCAAGTTGTATTCCCAGGGACCAGGTTCCCATTTCATCACCTTCTACTACTTGCAGAGCTATGGTGGAGGTATTCTAACCTGCCTGCACACGAGACAGATGAACACTCAGACATAAGATTGGCTTAGTTAGTTAGTTAGTTATTGGAGAGGGTGGGTTTCCCCATGCACTTAGACCTGTATTGGTCCATTGTGCTTCCCTCTATGATTTCTACCAGTCTCTATATCCTACTGGTACTGGTGCTTACCATCAGTCCCGCCCAGCCAGCAAGACCGGCTCTACTAGCTGAGAGGTATCTATAATGCTTCCCCCATCTACCAGAGGTATTAGAGACTGCTGTTGGGTGGGAAAAATCCGTAATTTGACTCAGTGACCTCCATTGGAGATATGAGGTTCTTTTACGTGCAGTAAAGCTACGACACAGGACCCATGGCTTAAAGTCCCTCCCGGAGGACTTGTTCCCTGAATTTTTCTGCCCTTAAAAATTCGACGACCTCCGCCAGGTATTTGAACCCGCGTACTACGAGTCATGAGGTGGGAACGTTACCTCTAGACTACAGAGGCCGCTTTAAGATTGGCTTAGTCAACTCTCCTACCTCTCTTTCAGTAAAATGATTTTTTATCCATAAAATATATGAAACTAAAACTGAAATCAGTAACTGTTGTATATGGTATTCAGGATTTCAAAATGACTGGTGCTTCTTAACATCTGCAAAAATGTGTATCCCAGTAATGAACTTTGTGATGACTTGGTTGTCTTTGTATTTTTCAGAGTTTTGTGTGATAGCAAATTATTTTGTAGTTTAAGGTAATTTATGAACTGCATGCTGCAGTGTGCGTGATTTTGAACAAAACTTGGAGTAATATTAAGGGTGATATTCAAACTAGTGTGAGGTCTGATACTGTGATATTTACATTGTCATGAAAGTAGGCTTGGAAAGTAAGTTTAATCATACCTTTAATCATATAGAGGTATATTTTCTTACACAGTATTCCATATTATTTAATTAATCTTTTGACTAAAAATTGTGGTATGGCCATTAAGTAAGTAAACTAAAAAAATTAACTACTGTAACTGTCTGTGATAAGTGGTGTAGTGAATGAAATTTGAAAAGCACGTGATGTAGCAGATCAGAATGAATAGGAAACTGATAGTAGTTATTTCATCTTATATTAGGTCAGTGCCTAATCTGTCAGCCAGGATAAGCTGCTCTGATTAAGATCCCTTTTCACCTCTTTAATCCCCCAGTGAAAGTCATAATATTCCTTTAAAATGGTTACTTCCTCCATAAATATGAGATGTGTTAAACTCGCCTGTCCATAACTTTCACCTGCCAACAAGAATATTGCAGCAATTGAAAGTAACTAATAATATGTTATTAGAATTCATTGGAAATTCCAGAAAATTTTCATTATTATGTTGTAGCTCTCTGCCACATTGTTATGTTTCTGTCCTGGTGATATAGCAATAACACAAACTCTGTATCACATATGACCTGACTTTATAACCAGTCCACCAATTCTCTTGTTTCACTTGTGGCCTACTTAGGGCTGTCATTCTTATAGGGGTATTTCTACTTGCTGATTAGTCTGGGTTTGTTCCCTGGTCTTAGGTTTAGCTTTTAGGATTGGTTAGTATTATCAGATCATAATAATCATAATCAGATCATACAGCTGGTTCTGGGGGCAAAAGGTTTAATTGCAGGCATCTTGGGCATATCAGTGATAAGATGTGGGAATAGTTGAGTGTACAGTGTTCATATGCCGTGAATGAGAGTGACAGGGTAACTTTTGCATTTTCATATTCACTAGAATGACACTTCACAGTGATAACTTCAATTGATATTATGAAACACACATAAAACTTACAGGTTTTATGCAATTAAAATTAAATTAGCCCACACCTGTATCCCTCTGCATCCTTTCCAATTCATTATTCAGAAATCATCTTAAAGTAAAATCTCTATTTGATTAATCTTTGGAGGAAAGAATCTCAGCTATGATCCCACAAGTGTCAATGTATGAGGTCACCCACCAAAAATTACGGTTGTACAATAATGATTTCTGAAGAGATGAAACATAAATATCAATTGTTTCAACACCACTCACATTAAATCATGGTACAAGTTATGAAAGGTTGAAAGTTTCTCATACCAATTGCAGGTTAAACTGAAATTCATGTAATGCAGGAAAATAATACTTTGTTTCTATTGAGCTTCAGCTGGGACTAGAAAAGACATTCGCTAAATGAAAGAAAATAAATCAGGATCTAATTGTATCATTTAGTGCTACATAATCTTAGCAACTGAAAACATTGCTGAATAAACCAAGAATAAAAAGTAAGATTGCAGGTGATGGAAATTGAATGCAATTCCATAAGTACTGTATCTTTAGTGCATTGCTGTCAGTCTTGAAAACTAAAATCCACCAGATAAGAAAAGTACTTATATATCGAATGTCATAATTGTTTTGTGTACTTATGTATATGATCAAGTTTACAGTCACTTTGCCCTGCCTTAGTAAGAATTACAGATCATTCTACATTTCTCCTTTATTATCTTTGTTGTTATAATTGCTTTGCTTTACCAGCAAAAGTTATGTTGTGTATGCTTTCAAAACTACTGTTTGTCATTAGAGTTCCGAAATGGTTAACCGTCTGCCATTCCATTTAGTATTTTCTGTGTGATGCAGTTTGCCTGGAAATAATGTTCTTCCAGCATAACAGCAATAAAAGGCATTTTCCCCAAATTTAAGTAATGTCACATATTTATGTGTGACTACAGCTGGGGTATGGATTGGTGAATGGATTTACTGACCACTTATATACACCACTGGGAACTACACTTTGCAGATCACTGACACACAGACTAGTGTCCTCAGTCTATTACAGTCTCCATTAGCCATTTCCTAGTTCAGATTTATCTTAATTTTTAATGTTTTGAAATAAAATCATACTGAAGACTTTATAGAACCAGATGCTTTCAGAATGTAAATATGCTGAGAATATAACTTGGAATGGTATGCCACATCACTGAAAAACGGGAGTTTTGTAATCATAGAGCAGTCTTTCTGTGCGAAGGCTGTTTTTGCAGTAAATGTATTTTGTATGTAGGGGAGTGTTGTTCTCTTTCAACATTTCCATCTTCATGTGGATCATCTAAAAGGAGTTTTTCCCCCCCCCCCCAAATATAAAATCAGTGCAAGGAAAGTTGTGTAATTCCTTATAAAAGGAATATGTGTTATAAGTTTGAACTTGGTTGTAAAGTGTATATATATTTAGTTCTAAGCTTTTAATATATATTTACTTTAATACTTGGAGGGGAATATTTTTTTTTTGTGTGTGTTCTTTACATTGCTATAATTCTTACAAGCATTGGTGCTGATTTTAAGTATATCACATTCAGGTCAGAGAAGATGTTTTCTTGCATAGTTCTTTGTATTGTTTAGTTTTGATGCAGTCACTTCAGTACTATAATAATTGGGTGAAAAACTCATTTTCTTAGAGAAAATGGTATTCCGGTAGTCAGGATGAATATCATCTGAAAGTGTTATATGGTCAAAACCTGTATGGTACAAAAGACTAAAATTCTTAACTGTGGAAAAGGTTAAGTTGCCCATGAACTTTATTGTCTCAATGGATCAGAAATTTACAAGCTTGGTGATTTCTGTTTTATCTTTGTTTAATTTTAGGTGACATTCCAAAATTAATAATCATGATACTAAATTTCATGTGTTTCAGAAGTATGCTTTACACAGATACAAACTCCAAAAATGAACATTTTCCCTTATTGGTACCAGCTGTATCCATTTTCGTAATTTTACATGATTGTTGTTCTCTGGAATCAGATAGCTGTGTCATTGTATTTGTAATGAGTATATAAGGCATACATATCTTGTTGCATTGATAATCCAGTGATTCTGATACCGACTTCATTGTACTCTCTGATCATACTTTCAGGCAGCATGTTTAACTCTTCCTTCTGCAAACCACATAAACTGTGTGCTACATTGGTGTGACATCTGATAAGCACTATTAATGTCTTAGTTAAATGCTACATGATCCATTTAGTTTCTTTTATTAGATTTGTTTGCTGGTGTAGAGACACGTACATGCTGAATACATTGATGTACAAGGCTCTGTCATAGGTGGGACTGCAGCTCTAATGTGCTGCATTATTACAAGGAAGGTTTCAGTCATAGGTTACTATTAATCCTACATAACCTCATGTTGTGCATTTCATCTAAACTGTGCCTTTAGTTTTAAGAAAGTTGCTCATGCTGATCTCATATTTGTATAGTTTTGGTTATACAAGGTATTTGTGCTGCTGCTTTATTAAAGTTTCAATGTTAGTGGCAACAGAAGTTTACTCCGTACAGTTGAAATAGGAGTGGAATTGCCATAATAAAAACTTGTGAGTAATGAAGCATAAGGTGAAGGGACTGATAATACTCTCTTAATAAAATTTACTATAAAACATTCTTGTGAATCACTCTGTCATTTTTGGTTTGATTGTGCATTTTTCTGTTAACTGACGTTATATTACTGTCATTGATATTCATCATGAAGACATACCATATTAGCCTGCATGTAAGGCGAGTACCCCCCCACCCATACTGCTTCTTAGAAAACAGGAGTCACCTTACTTTCAGGCTCTTAAGAATAGATATGAAGATGATAATTATGAGGAGTTATAATTGTTAATTCTAAGGTATTTGTGAAAATGCCTTGAAATATATTTAAGGTGTTACATTTTTAATTTATTAATATTCATAATATTGTTCTTACTTCTTTTTGCTTACAACCCTCAGAACTAAGTGGCAGTCAATTTTGTCAAAATGCTTCTTTTCCTGATTTTCTCATTGGAAAAATAGAGGGTTGCCTTATATTCAGGGTTATATGGTAATATTTGTTGCCAGGGATTTGAACTGAATAAGATGAGTGATCAAAAGATTTGACAGACCTTTACATTTTGTGAATTTTAAACAAATCAGTGTGAAATATACAACAACAGATCAGTAGTGAATGCTCCTGTCTGGCCAATAGTGCACTGATGAACAACTAAAACTGGAGGACCATGAAAGAAAATTCAATCAGTTGTACTCGTTTCGTAGTTTACATGCCACACTGTTTCTTAGCTTCATATGCACCAGGTCAGGCAACTGGGTAGATTCACTGCTCAAGTGGAAATTGCAAAACTGCTTTCACAAAAGTGTCACCATGAAAAAGAACAAATGATTCTATTAGTATAGACAGTTCATATGACTGCGTTTTTGTGTGACCTAACTTTTGGAACACTGATGGGAAGTGTAACCTTAACTTCTCTACTCCTACTTCACAAGATCATAACACTTCTGTTAGCACAAGGCTGACTAGGAGTTCTTGAAAGAAATATTTTCTCATACTTTAAAATGAAAGAGGCAGGTGCGTATGTTCTTCAAAAACAGTTCAAATTTATTGGTCATGATTTTTGGGCATAGTGATCTATGAACAACTGCCATTGACAGGAGTGTCACTACTTGTATCTTCCACAAAAGAGAACTGTTTTCATTTGTGTATTTACTAAATTATCATGCAGTTGCTATCCATAAGTTATATTTTACTGTTGATTTTGCTATAGCTATCTTTATGGGACCCATGATACATAAGTGTTTCACTTCTAGAAGATATGATAAGTAAAAAGTAAAGGTATCCCTATAGCAGGACCTGGAGGCCCATAGGGCTGTGAGGTGTTGAGGTTCCCACATTTTGTAGACAATCGGTTTATAGATTGGCGGCAAGGTTGTCAGCCCTACACGTCAGCTGCCCTTTACCCCCAAGAATGTTCCTGGTACTCATTTCTGTTAGAGGCTGAGTCGACCCCAGGGCCATAGTGCAGCTAGAAGGATTAGGTCAATTGAAAAAATCCAATGACCTCATCGGGACTTGAACCCGCCACCTTCCAGCTTGTATCATAGTGCCTCAACTAACTATGCTACTGCGTGCCCTGATATGATAAGTACTTTGTAAATTAAACTGGTTGCTGAATCCATGTATTTCTCTCAACTCCAGAACAAGCACATTACAGTAGAGCCATGAGAGGTCAGTCTATATACATACTAGGCTGCAGTATGAATGACTGTGGAATCAGCGTTCAATTCCTGACAGTGGCAAAAGATTGTTTTTCACTTTTCCACAGCTTCCAGGCTGGCTGTGGAGTACACCCAGCTCCCTATCTAGTGAGTACCTGTGGTAAAGTGGCCAGGGGTGAAACTGACCACTCATCTCCATCTAGTCAATGCATGGTGCTAGTCCTACACTCCCCAATACGTCTTCATGACATGGTGCTTAATTAAAGACAAAGACAACTTTACCTTTTTCATTTAGTTGATATCCCTGATTTTGTACCGTGCAGCTGTGAATGTGAAGCCTCCTATCCGAGATTTGATGTTTTCAAGTCAAAACAAATTATCTTATATGATACATTTGTGCTAACATAGCTTGATGGCAATAATATATGTACTTACCCTGATTATAAAATCGATGAAACCAAAGATCAGTGATTTATTTGGTGGATGTTTTGGACTTGCAGATGTCATAATTTTACACTGTGTTATGTGAATACATGTGTTGTGTGACATACAGCTGCTAAAAAAACTAAAATGTTCGGCAGTTGCATTTCACTCTGACTTTCCCATATAATTTTGAAGTATTATTATGGATTTTGTGATACAGCAGACTTACATAGTTTCAAAAAAATGTTACAGCTGCTGTAAACTAGTTCATAGTGTTTTATTTTGGCATTGTTCATTCCAGTTCTGTTGCTAGGGATGTGTCTTTCAAAACATTTTTACATATGTTTTTATTCACAAACTTTTGTTGATGGGAAGGCTTCATATCTTAGACTTTTCTGCTTCTCTCAAGCACTCTCTGGCTTGAAAACAAAATGGCATTTACATATTTGAGGTATCTATTTAACACATTTTCTTGAAACTTCAAGCTTAGAACCTCTAGCACAGTAAAGCTAATGAATAATAATTGTTCCTATAATGTTGGCAAGATTAGGTTAGGAGTATGTGACACTGTGATTTGTGTCGGTAGGCTGAGTGAACTTAAGATTCTGACAAATTCATTTGACTGAATAAAAGGTTTAAACTTGTCACCGTGATCAGTGAATATTTTTTTTCTACAATCTTCAGTCTTTTTTCTCTCCNNNCCCCGCCACTTTTTCTTTTGCTTTCTCCCCCCAAGATAAGAGTTAGACCTTTTTTATTCCTGCAGAAATAATGGGAATTTAGGTGAAGTTTGAAGTTCTCATGGGAGTGAGTATCAAGAACATTGTCTTCCGGTGTGTAATGCCATCTGGTTTGATACATAACATGCTGCCTTCACATTTGGGATAGATGAGTGCGCAGTGTGTAAGAGAAAAATGGTACAGATATAGAGAAGAGAGGACCAGGGCTGAGGCTCTGTGAAATATTAGAGATGAACACACCTTTTTATATATAATGGCATATCACTAAAAAACCAGTATTCCAATGTGTAAACAATAGCAAATGTAGGAATTCTAGCAGACAAATACAGGTAAATATAAAAAGTCAGATACCTGATGATGGCTTAATGAGCCAAATATGTTGGTTGAATTGATGAATATATGGTGTAGCCATAGTTCCTGTTGAGCCAGAATAAAATAAAGAAATTTCACACACATGATATGATGCTAAAATATAATATTTCCAGGAATGTAATACTTTATATGGAGATAAATTATAAACATCTCCATAAATATTGCATTTTCATATGTTAAAATATGACAGACATGTAAAACATTTGGCAAATTGAACAAATTCAGAATCTGTACTAGAAGAAATTATTAACACAAATGGAATAAATTCCGAGGTGTTGGTACAGTTGATTTGATTTTGTGTGTAGCTGTTTCTGTACCAAAAGTGTGCTGCTGATATCAATATGGAAACATTATGTTTTCATTGCCTAAACCTTCAGCTTCATCTAAGGCGTGTAACATGCCAGCAAATTTTTAAGTGTCCTCCATCCACAAAAATGGGTAGGGTTTAAATGTCCTATGGCCTTATGGCTTTGAGGTGTTGTAGTTCTTGTAAGCAGAGCAGTTAACATGAAATTTTTGTCTTCGGTTATTCAGGGACATTCTGCCGAAAAGATTTAAGATTTTATATGAAGTTAAATAAAAATATATTTGTCTTCTTTCCCTCTGGAAGTTAACCAATTTTTTATTTTCTATAATTAAAAATTGGCCAGAATTTACCATTGGCACATAAATTTAGAGATATATTCTTTTATTGCCATTTCACTTCGCTGTCACCTGGAAATGTAACAGTACTGAAAGTTTTATAATTTCTGGCTTTGACATAAAATAGAAGTTAAAATTACTTTTATTACTTAATGGCCTTCTTTATGTTAGAAAGTCAGGTAATCTAGTCAGCCTGTTTATTCTATAGAACTTGCTTGGTGCTAAGTGCTCTTTGTTAGAGTTTTATTAGTAATTATGTTGAAAAAATTAAGGTTACAGTACTTTGCTAGTGTTTCATCTGAAATTTGTGTAAAGTTTGTATGAATCAGTATTACTTTCTGGTATATAACAGAAAAAATAAAACACTTACTTTGGGAATTTTTTGTATTATTTTGTTAGGATCACTTCTCTTGTGGGACTCCATGAACATCTAGTTTGAAACTGTACCTGCACTGTAGTCAACATGTTCAAGGACTTGTTATGCCCACTTCCCGTACCAGTTACTGTCAGAAGGAACATCAGTGTTATGGTAAGTGCATTTTCTAATTACATACTGTGTATGTTCAGACTAACAGTAACAGTTCAAGACAACCTTTCCTGATTCCCTTTTCACATTGACTTTGTTATTGTTGTCAGTGCCTCCAATAATGGTCTTACTGGCCTTACTGGTTGTCTTCTACATTTGTACTTGTGAAGACATTTCTGATATTGGGGTGCCCACACAGACAGTAGATGGTTACAGGTGTTTTGGAGGAATCTCTTACCTCTGTCTTCAGGGTATAATACTCATTTTAATGTCATGGTGGTTAGAGATAGGGACCACGGTACTCTGTGGACATTAATCTGTTTTATAGTGTGGTCTTACAGTTTGAAGAGGAAAAATATGAAGTCAGCTGTGAATTTTAACATCCTTAATGACTGAATTTCACATCCAATGAGAGGATGATTGTGTGGTTCAGAGGTGCATTCCAATATTGGCATTGGCAAGCAACACCCAAATTGGAACTCGCAGAGTGCACTGTGAAAGATATGTGACTGCAATGGAAAAATAAACGACTGGACAGTGAAGAAGCATGGTTATTTCCTCTTAAAGCCTTCATACTTAACATGGTTTGATAGACCCATCTGGAGTAGCATTCAAATAGTGTTCTTGGTGATTTATTTAATGCTAGAAGCACCGTATGAAGCCACCATTTAACGATATCACAGCTTCTCATGTTTCATGGGTAAAAGTAAAAAAGTAAAGTAAAGCTATCCCTGTACCAGGCCGTGAAGGCCCATAGGGTTGTGAGACGTTGAGGGTCCCACATTATCCAGACAGTCGGCTCAAAGATGGCGGTAAAGTAGTCAGCCTTGCGCGCCAGCTGCGCTTTACTCCCCAGGAATATTATTTAATTAATTTCTGTTAGAGGCTGAGTAAACCCCAGGGCCTAGTGCGACTGGAAGGATTAGGTCAACTGAAAAAAATCCAATGACCTAATCGGGACTTGAACCCGCAACCTTCAGTCTTGTAGTATAGCCCGTCTAAATGCAGAGAAGAATTTCCTTCATGTGTGATTCTGATAAAATACCAGCAGATGCCACATGCTGACAGCTACAGAAATGTTTATAAAGGTGGAAATTTTCAATAATCTGCACTTCATGAAGCTGTCAGCTGCAGATGAAGCCAATCTGAGCAAGCACAGGAGTCATAATTTAATATGTGCATAACCAAAGCATCACAGTAAGGCACCAATAAAAAAAAGTTTATACCTAGTGTACCAGATGTAACGTATCTGGGGATTTGGAATGTAACATCTGTGTGCAGAGCTGCTGTGAAGAAAGTTGTGCAAGTAAGAAGAGCAAACACATTGGAATAGACTGTTTTATTAGCATAGTGCACAACAAAATTTTTCTTTATAAGGAGAACCACATTTCTAATAAAACAGTTTAATTTCAACATCATCTGTGGTTCCATTTAATTGACAGTATAACAAAAGTTTAGCAAAAATTCCTTTATATTTGCCTATTTCAAAAGCACTTGCTAAGATCATTAAAAATGGTTCCCAACCTTCCTGAACATGCAAATCAGCAAAGTCTGTATCACAAGCTGGAGACTCTCTTCTTTTTATTTTTATCCGTATCTGTGGGCTTAAGAACTTGCATAACAAAGAGCATATGTGGTCCAGTAATGAAGAGCTGTATGTCCAATGTAAGGTGAATTAAACTGTCATTTTATACTTGATAGCATATGATGAAACTTTTAAAACGTGTCTCAAATATAAGACCATTTCAAACGTTAATGCTTGGTACAGCAATTACTTACTCAAATACATTATGTATGGTGATTATTTTGATGCTTTTCTCATCTTCTTGGCATTTTTTTAAACTTCTTGTAACCCACAGGTAGTTCAGACATGACCTGAAATGTTTGCTGTCCCTCATAAACAACGATATCAGTACTGCAGACTTGTTCACTAGCATCTCATCCTTCCCATAAGATGATGTGTCAAATAACCAGAGAGTTTGGAGTCTGCTGTTTTGCAAACCAATGGTTGGGAACCTTTGCACCAAAGCACAATTCCTAAAATAATGATTTGTGTATGAAGCATTAAGAGTAGATCTATATCACATTCTTACATATCTCCGCATGTTTATAATGTTCACAACCTTTATTTAACATTAAAGCGAACCATAAAAATACATTCACATTTTCGTAACTGTGTAGAGCGAAACATTACTACTAAACACTGATCAGGGTGTCAGTATACTTAGGCTACGTGGGTAAGACCGTTATAAAAAAAAACGTTAAAGCTAAAAAGGCGCATATCAGAGCATGATGTTCACCTTAATTTAATATACATTAACTCTGCACATTCCGTTTAGAACTCTACTGTAAGGTACCATCAGCCAAGTGTTTCTGGATTTAAATTTTTCATTGTGGTATTTCACCATTTTGCTGTGTTGAAAGAGACATGGTCCTTTTAATTGTACACATTATTGAGAAGCAATTCAATACATTCAAAATATTTTCTATTAACATAATATTAAATACATCCAAGAAACTACTTATGGGAATTTGTCCTTATACATTATACACAACAAATGACAGTTAACAGATTATTTGGAATTTTAATTTAAGCAATTACCTAATAAAAGAATCAACTTTATGTAGAAATCTCTTTTCCAAACTTAATATAACAATCCATTAAGACAGTTTACATTCACATTTCCACCAGGAACAAACAAGTGCTATGAATCATTTTCCTCCAAAGATGATTTTTGTGTGGGTGGAATGTAGTTTGGCGACAACGCTTTGCCCCTGTGGTTGAATATATAGAAAGAAGGGATGTTCCTTACAGTTTCCCAGGATTTATTTTCCAAATCTACTGTTGCTCTTATTTCCTTGAAGTCTCCAGCAATGTACATGATCCCATACATGGCCACAAACAGACTCACTATGCCTTGTGTCAGAATCTGAAAGTTGAACAAATCTGATTTCATAAACAGGCACAAAATGTGGAATTTCTATTTAAGGATGGTTTGTAGAAATAACATGTAAAATACCTTCTCATATATATAGCATAAAAAAAGGTAAAGCTATCCCTGTAACAGGCCATGAAGGCCCACAGGGTTGTGAAAAGTCGAGGCTCTCACAATTTCTAGACAATCGGCTCACAGATGGCAGTAAGGTTGTCAGCCTTATGCATTGGCCACCCTTTACACCCCAGGAAGATCCCTGGCACTCATTTCTGTTAGAGGCTGAGCTGACCCCAAAGACCATAGTGTGGCTGGATGGATTAGGTCAATTGAAAACTCCAGTGACCTCATCGGGAATCTAACCCGCAACCTTCCGGCTTGTAGTATAGTGCTGCAACCAACTATGCTACTGCATACTCCCATATATGTATCAGAAAAATCCCCAAACAGGCTTCTACAAATCTAACAGGCAACAGCCCCTTTTAAATTTACATGACAGTTGACCAGAAATATTCTAACATATATACATATTCTGGCCAGATAACAGGAGCCGGGATAGCGTAGTTGCTATAGCAACTGGCTGGACGACTAAGAAGTCAAGAGTTCAAATCCTGATAGGGGCAAGAATTTTCTCTTCTCTGTGTCATCAAGACCAGCTCTGGGGCCCACCCAGCCTCCTACACAATCAGTACCGGGGGTAAAGTGCCCTGGGCATGAAGCTGACCACTCACCTCCATCTAGTGCCGAGGTCAAGAAAATGTGGATCTATACATCCACTTCTCCACATGCCTTCGTGGTGTAGTGCTTAATGATTTAAGCACAAAGACAACTTTACCTTTTACCTGGCCAGATAATACTGCTGGCAAATGTAGGTTCCACCATGCAATTTTGAAATACCATCGCTGTGTGTCATAAATGTATAGTACTAAACAGAAACATCACTACAAGAGTCATTTACAAATCAGAAGAAATGAAACCATAAAAAAAAACGTAAAAATTGTCCCAGTGCTTAATTAATTAAGCATTATGCCATGAAATAGAGATTAAATTGATCACTATGGTATAAATTTCAAAGCATTATATTTATGATAAAGGAAACAGAAATAAAAGTGTTATGATGGAGTTGAATACAAAATTAAAGAAAATGAGAATAAGAAACTAGAAACGTCACACAACAGTTCAATTCTGGACACAAACCAGAATGGATTTCTGACAGCCACAACCTGCCTGAATGGTATTTAACCCAACAGGGGTTGGTTTTTAATCAAGAATTTTATTTAAAGCTATTAGCATTGAAATATAAATAACTTCATTTGCTACATTCCTACAATGTCTAAGTTATATTTAATTTTATCCATAATATTTACAAGTGGGAACCATGCAGAAAAATGAAAACAAAACTACCTAATTAATTAAATCAGCATCGTTCTTGAAGAGCCTGTAGTTCTTCAGCTGTCCAAAATATTACAATTTAGACAACTGGCCAAATTACAGAAAAGTGATAACATATAAAAGATCAGGCTTTTCCAAGTCAAGAACAGATGGACTTTTGAAAATTTTGTAAAAAAATATGGTCAGTTAGGCACACAGAGGAAACAAATCTACACTTACGTTAACATAATTGTTTGAAAGTCTAAAACAAATTTTACCTTCCACTTATAACCTGACACTGAAGGGCATATTAAATATAATTACAGCCACCTGTTATTTTTATATCACTTTGTTCTACAGTACATACAAAATTACTAATACAAGTACCATTCGTACCAGTTATTGAGTAAATCACAGAAGTGACTCGTCCCCGTAAGTGATTCTTTACTCTTACTCGTGTTTCAAGCTAGATAAAAAACGATGTTGCCGTCTTTATGTCCTAGGGCATACTAGAATAACAGTAATGTTAGGGGCTGTACTCACATCAATTGGTAGAGAAACAAATTTCTGTTCCGTAATCCTTAGGTATGAACGATCTGTAAAACATAAACAATGTGTAACTGCCTCTTCCCCATCATGCAGAGTTTGAGAAAAGTATAGAATGGTTGATTGAAAATGAGGTTAAGGAGACAATGTCTTTATAACATGTAAACAACTTCATTTTACACTTCACATTTATTTTATTGTACGTTATATCCCACACTGCTTACGTTGAGCAGCTGAATATGCGGCATGAAACAAAGACAGAAGTCCTGAAATAAGAAATAACTTATGAAGCAACGTAGCCATTTTGCACCTTCTGTTCAATTGTTTGAGAAGTCTTCTGTAGTCAACACCCAAGCAGCACCAGCAACCTATTTGCCTGTTTAGTTGAGTGTTGGCGGGGTTTTCAAGAACGGTTTTGTGTTTAAAAGTTAAACAGGAGCCGTAGGCTGCAGTGAACCCATTCACACAGCTGGAATTGTTCATTCATGGTTTCAAGAGCATGAAGGTAAACTTAAACATCTTCCCAGATCACCAGATTTCAACATCACTTAACTAATCTGTCAGTTTTAGAGACTAGAGAGAGGAACAGATTCCCACGTCCAAAATCTCTAAAGCAGCCTGAAGATGTTCTTCAAGAATAATGTTATAAAACTCCGCTAGAGGCTGTTAAAAACTTGTACAGGTCCATTCCAAGGACTGGGGCTGTGTTGAAGGAAGATGAAATATGGTCCAACATGAATTCGAAAGAAAGTGGTCGTAGATTAAATGAGGTACTACCATAGCATTTGAGTAGAGAAGCTGAGGAAGTCCACGAGAAGTTCAGGACACTCGGTGCCAAGTATTATCACCAACAATTATCAAAAAGAAATATCGTTCTTCTATCCTGAAATTTTTAGGACGATCGTAAACGGACTCAAACGGTTTAAACGGAAGATAGTAAGCAACATTTTTTACTCTGCTCCCCCCCCCCCNATTGGTGAGGCCCATGCCAAGGGTCGGTGTGGAACTGACAGAGAATCCCTGCCCCTAGCGCAGTTCGGATCACGAAGCGAAGCCACTCCGTAGCGGAAGAAATCTGATTAATTGAACTTGGGAGCAATTTCTTGTGCTGACTTTATTCAGGACGTACAGAAAGAAGAACCGAAAGAAGCGAATGAAACCAAACTGCTCTCTCACTTTGCGTGACATTTGTTGAAACCATCAACGTGATTGAAAATCTCGCTTTTAAAGTATTGGGTTCTGCTTTTCTTTGCTGGAAAATTTACATCGCACGTTAGACTTGCGCACCTCCCCTGGTCTTCGCCTTTTTCAACTGTTACTAAACTAAATTAAAATATTATGCAAGAAATATGGCCGAGTACGGCTCAACCTTCGAAGTCACGTATTTATTTACAATCTGATTGTTTCGATATTCCTATATTTTCTTGCGAAATATTTTAATTAAGTTTAGTAAGAACAGAAACAGGCGAAGCCCGGAGAATTCCGCAATAATTATGATCTTATAACAGGAATCCAGTTTCACTGGAAAAGTTATTGAGCGGTTTCAGCATTTGTTCACTTAGGTATTAGCTTTCTATGGGGTTCTCCGTATCCAATTTGAATCATTTTGCTTGCCGCAAAACTAATAAATATCTGAAAAACTAAGCGACTACTGCAACAGAGAAGGTGATAGTTCTCAAACAGCCATGACGCTTCCCGTCTGTTATAACCTCCGGAAGTTCATTACCATGTTGACAATCCCCTATGAGTGCTACAAGCTCTGCCCATCTCATCCTCCTTGACTTGATCAATCTAATTATTCCTGGAGAAAAGTACAAGTTATGGAGCTCTTCATTATGTAGTGTTCTCCAGCCTCCTCTTAGGTCCATATTTTCTTCTCACCGCCGTGTTCTCAAACACCCTCAGTCTGTTCTTCATTAAAAGTTTAGGCCTATAGCATCGAATAATAGTGTGGTTAGTGAATAATTAAGTGGACAGGATATGGAAGGAAGCTATTGTGAAATAATTTTAAGGCGCCGTCTCGTAATTTCTTTGGAGGGACTGAGAAAAGCCACGAGAAATCTCAGAATAGCCGGTCCCTGGGCCGAGATTTGAATCCAGGATCTCGGAATACAAAGCAGGAACTCTAACCACACAATTATGACGTTCTTTCGAACAATGCAGAACTTCTGCCTAGAAAGATGTGTTACAGTTGAGCATATGTTGTAGGTACAACAGCCCCCTAGTATAGAATGCTCTGGTGTCAATGCGACTCTGTCTAGAATGAGAAATGGTCCAGAATCTCAGGCTAGAAGTTAAGTGACTGTCAAAGCGTGAATGAGAGTAGATGTTGTGTTTCTCCGACCAGTAAGTGTGGAAATGTCCACCGCGACATCACTTATCGCAGAATGTAACGATTGTCTATATACTCGTATGGAACAGTCTCTGTCCCACCGTCCCTTAACACGTGACGCACTTGACGCTACACTCACTTGCCCCTCGGTGTCCCCGCACTGCACAGAAACTGAACTAGGAATTGGCTCTTACTGTCATTCACTGACGAAGTAACAAACTCGACAAGGCCGTGCCATAGCTCAGGCGGTTAGTCGCTGGCTTCCCACCGCGGCGTTCCGGGTTCGAGCCCGGGTCAGGTTATGTGGGATTTGTGGTGAAGAAAGTGGCACTGGGGCAGGTTTTCTCCGAGTACTTTTATTTCCCCTGCCAATTTTCGTGCCACCAATTGCTCCACAGTCATCTATCATCCGGGGCTGGTACAATAGGCCAACAGTGGCCGCAATACCAAGTAGGCTCAGTAGCGCCATAGCTCAAGCGGTTAGTCGCTGGCTTCCCACCGCGGCTCTCCGGGGTCGATCCCGGGTCTAGTCAAGTGGGATTTGTGGCGGACGAAATAGCGATGGGACGGATTTTCTCCGAGTACTTCGGCTTCCCCTGCCAATCTTCATTCCACTAAATTCTCCATCATCATAATCACCCGGGGTAGGTACAATAGGCCAATCAGTGGCCGCCNTCCTCGTCACTAGCTGGAGGTGAGTGGTCAGCTTCACGCCTCGGTAGCTTACCCCCAATACCCCTTGGATAGGAGGCTGGGTAGACTTTGGGTGGACTCTGGACGACGTGGAGAAGAGAAAATTCTTGACACTACCAGGACTCAAACTCCGACCGCTTGGCCGTCCAGCCTGTAGCGAGTCAGTATATCGACTGCTCTATCCCGTCACCCTCATTCAGAGGGAGTGGGGGAAGTTTCTCGCGAACTCTCGGACTACCTTGGCTTCCGGTTTGTGTTGAGCTGTCCGCAGTCTGTCAGTTCTTTACACCGCTAGGGGTATACGTCAAGTTAAGCGTGGACTTACTGCTGACAGCATGACTGTTTCTTATGACATCTAATAACGTAATTAAACTGGCAGTTCTAGTAATATTGCTACCATGTAGGAAGTCGTAATTACAGTCTGGCTCACCAATTGCCATTGCGCAGGCTCTGTTCTGACATGTGGAGGAGAACTTAGTGACATTGCGAGTTGTCTTCAGGCACAAAGACTTGCAGTGGAAGTACAAAGCAGGCATACCCAGCGCGTCGATCGCGGCACGATTTTTGGTCGATCTCATAGGCTTATAAGGAAATTATACGTGAAAATCACGTAAATTCACTTGTAATATAATATGATTATATTCAGATTTTGAAGGGAAAATACGTATTAGACATTCCTATTTTTCTTAACGAACAAGGTAAGTCTGTACTTTCAATTTATGTTGGTTTTACAAGAAACATCATGTGTCGTGTTATTCTTACCAATATTTGGTAGATCACTCGTAGTTTTGACACTAAAAAGTTGACGCTGATCATTCTGAGCCCTTATTTATTTGGATGATTATAAATGAACGTGAAATTTATTTCTAATTAATTCTCGATAATTTTAATTTCAAAAGTCTTATGTTTCGATATTACTGGAAATGTATCGTGATCTAAAATATCGTATTTCATCGTCTGGGACGTGCAATACGGTGTTTACGTTGAAAATTCTAGATTCTGGCAGAAACAAGAAATCCGGAGTTATAACATTTACGATCAGTCATAAAAGTTAGCTCGGGTACAGGGAACCGGACGCGCCTAAAAGGACAGGTCAGAGCTTGTTACAATTTCCTGCGAATGAGGGCCAGTATGATTGGGTTGCCTCGTTCAAGCTTCCCACAGAAGATGGGATGAAATGTATATGAAAACACCATCTTTCGAATTCCCGGCGTGGGGTGTGCAACCCATTCCACAAAGGAGAGACTTACACAATATTCCGAACTGAACGGACGTGACCTTTGCACGCTCCGAGATATAGCTTTCCGATAGTAACGCTGTAACATAAGAATACATTAATTTAGCAGTGTGGTGAATTAGCAGGTAAATAAACGTCAATTGGCCCAACTCCCAGAAAAACGCTTTCTTCGGCATCGCTACCCTGAGACCCATGCAAACCGACCCAGCTAGTTTCCCGTACCTATACCGATCTTCCTTAGTTTGATCTGTGAGGAGAACTCCCAGTAGCCATCATACACTGTCCTAAGGTAGAAACAGGTGTAGCAGGGATAGCACCATTCCGACTGCGCCGATACAAGTAAAGGCGGGTTGGAAAAGAGCGGTGTTAAAGTCGATCACAACCTGTTTGTAGTTGGAAATGACTGGTACATAGTAATGAACTAACTTCATGATACCGCGTCTTCTAGAACAGTTGACAGTCAGGAAACTCCAGAGTTTATGGATCTGGTCTTTGGGACGCATCCCGAGTCATTTCTATCTATCTATCTAGCATACTTCTTTTAGCATTATCGCAACATCTACGTCTATGTCTTCCAAGCTGCACTTTCCCTTGAAGGTTCATAATTATGTATATATTTCTCATTCCGCCTCTCATGTGACGTGTTCTATAGAAGGTTAAAATATGAAGCTCCATAAAGTCCTTTTGTATGGCACCTTTGGTTGTACTTAGGTAAACAACGTGGACTTTTCGTTGTACTTAATCAATTAAGCGACACACTATGAAGACGTATGAGGGAATGGCGGTATAGCTCCACCATCCTTGACCTCGGCACAAGTTGTGAGTGGATGGTCACCTTACTCTCCGGCCGTTTCTCTCTCTCTCTCTCTCTATGGCTCTACAGCCCTTTGAACCTTAGCTGCTTTTTCAGTTTCTAAATCCTATACACAGTCGATAGGAACCCTTGGACGGGGGATCGGCCCATCGCAAGGCCGCTACCTAACACAAACAGAATAAACGCACACAGACACCCATGCCTTGAGTGGGATTCGAACCCACGATCCCAGTGTTCCAGCGGTCGACGATGGTTCATGTTTTA